TTTAGAGGCATTTTAAAATTACATCTTTTGAGGAGAACCACAATTTTTGCACACAAATGAACACTGCTGGAAAGAGCGTCAAAGCAGTGGTATGAAGGAACCGCTGAGTAAAGAATTGTTGGGTGATTTTACTAGCAGAACACAACAAATTAACCCCTCAGGCAGGATTATGAAAAAAGAAATACATACTGATAACATAAATACAAAGAACTTAACTTGAAAAACATTGGGCTGTCACAGTTGTAAAAGCCCTGTGGTGTTGCCTTGTTCCTTCCATGTTTTTGTTACAAAATCTATGCATGTTTCATTTCCATAAATGGAAGAAAGCTGCCTAATTGTGGATTAAGAGGACACATATTCAGTTGTATCAAACACAGAATTAGAAACACATCAATACCTTTTCTTGCATTAAAAAATAGGCTAATAGCTTGGGTGCACCCAATCATGTTCCCACTTCAAGGCTTATATAGGATATTTCCCTAAATAGAGGGGGAACAATGTACAGTGATGGGAACTGTGGAATGGTCAGAAACCTACTTGTCTGGGAAATCCTAGAGGTAATCCCAATAGCGCAGGAAATCGTACAACTCTCAAATATATGGTAGAGCCAACTCCAATATATGGTAAAGCCAATACCAATATAACTCTCAAATATATGGTAGAACCAATATAGAAGACTACTTCTGAGTGGTCCTGCTGCCCCAAGACTGATGACACAGAACACCACTGCACCAATGCAAAGTTGCATTGCCCTAACCCAAGAAAGAAATTATGCTTGGCCTCCTATGACCTCAACCATACATGTGACACCAGCCTTTAATGCTCAGTTGCTGAGGAACTTAGAAGTAAGTTTCTGATGTAGTCAGGGAAATTGCATACCAAAGAATGCTGGGGGTGGGGGTGGTTTCAGGGACAAAATGATGTTACTCTGCAAAAATGAAACCAGCAAAGATCGAAAGAATGGTGGGGCAAAATGGATCTTGATGGAGACAGTAGACTTTTACTTCCTACGTCCAGGGCTTTTTTTGTAGAAAAAGCCCAGCAGGAACTCATTAGCATAACAGACCACATCCAACAGCAGAAACTCATTAGCATAACAGGGCACACCCCTGACACCACAGCTCATTAGCATATTATGCCACACCCCCATGCCTTCCCTTGGCTTGCCCGGGCAAGACCCCCCCGAAGGGAAGGGAAGGCAGTTTAAACTACCTTGGACAGGCTGGGGAAGGCACTGGGAGGCATCTAAATGCCTCCCCAATCCTTCCAGGGGCCCCCTGGCCTGCCTGCCTCAGAGTTGCCGAGGTCGGTTGCTCTCCAGGCCTTCGCTCTGTAGCCACGCGTGCAGAGGTTTTGGCTGTAGTGGGCATTGACTCCACAATGAGATTAAACCTCAGCCACAACCTTGGTGTGGAAGATATAAATCTGCTTATTTTGTCACATACATTGGTGCAAAGAAACCTTTCCTAAAGATACAGGATCTTTGCACATTGCAGTGTATATGGGTGGGTAAGGTTAGTCCCCAAACAAGATTGTCAGCCATATAGTCAAAATGCCATATGTTGGACAGCCAACAATGAAAGTAAATTTTGTGTATTCCGGTTTTAGTATGAACAAATATTGTATTACCTTAGAGCACAGATTTCCTGAAAAGACACTGACTCTGAAAATATATTCCATTATAAAATATTCCCTGTTAATCCAGATTCTACCAGTATATGGAAAAGCCCATATGTACCATGATAATCCAGTGCTTACAGAAGAAGGACCCAATCAGCACATGTATTATAAGGAATGTTCTTTGTTTAGTATATGCAGATGATGTCACTCACTCAGTGACATGCATGCCCACATGTTCTCACTAAGGGCCAGGCATTGGAACCAGTCCTACGAATATGGGTTTCTCCACTCATTTCTGTGGGGAAATAAAAATGCATGGGAACACAGGGGGGATGGCTCTTGTTCAGCCCACGATAAGTGTTCATGTGTGGTAGAAATGTAGGCATAAGTGTGCCATTGAACAAATCACGTAATGTGTGGGCCAGGTGTTTGCCCACATACAAATGTACCAGGATCCTTCTCCAAAAAGGATACAAACGTATCCAGGATCCTTCTCCAAAAAGGATACGAATGTATCCAGGATCCTTCTCCAAAAAGGATACAAATGTATCCAGGATCCTTCTCCAAAAAGGAAAGATGTGATCACAGAAATTAATTTTAATCAGCATATGTGGTAGAGCTCATGCTTCACATACCAAAGTTCTCAAATTCATTCCCTGTTATCTCCTATTCCCTGTTAAAAACAAAGATCTCAAGGAGAGGTCTTCTTTTCACTACCCTGAAGAGCCACTCACTGTATGAGTAGCCAATACTGGGTTAGAGAGGACAATAGGGAGATTCACTATAAAACAGCATCATATATGTATGAAAGGCCAGCTCCCATGTGACATCATTTACACAGTGAGTGAAGTCCATGCAAAAAGCAAGACATATATAGGACTTTCACCTTTGAGCCAATTATCTGTCCAAAGGAATACTTAATGTGCATCAGAGACTGTATTGTACCCTTGATGTGCATTTGTCAGAAAGGTTTTGAACAGGGAACAAAAACTTAACTCTTGAATAAGGTAACCTGCTTTTTTAAAAACCATGGAAGCCAAAGACTGAATGTACAAATTAAATCTTTCATTTTTACTGTAGTTACACATACAAAGCTCAATCCAGATAAGTAACTTTAAGTCCCACTGATCTGAGTGAAAGAGAATTAAGCATGTGCTTGATCTTATCATTGACACAGTGGGACCAAATATTCCTGAACAGTGATTGGATAGCGTTGACAGCATTTGGAATCCGTAATGATAATTATTTCATCTCTCCCCCCCCCCATATTCTTTTTTGCACTGGCAATTGCTTGGAAATGAGTAACACAGAGAAGAAATGAAGGACTAATAACAATTTAGAAATAATGAACTCTAAAATGTGCACATGCAAAAAGAAAAGAGCACTATAATATGAACCAAATCCAATTAAAATGTGTGGTTTATGCCATCTGCTTACACACCGTATTTCTGTGTATGTGTGTTTCAAAAAAAATTAGATATGCAAAATAACCTCTATTTCACCTTCTTTAAAACTCCTTTAATATCTTTTATATATATATAATATGCAACATTCCAACTGGTTTTGATGCAGGCCAAAGCTGAAGCCGTCAGCAAGAAAAATCCTTGCTTTCTTTTGTTATCGTGCTACAAATCCTGGTTGAAGGATTATGCCAATTATCTGGATTACCTACTTTTACTTCACCCTGGCCATGCAGGGCAATTGACAATTCTCTGAATATTGTTCTTATCATTCTCTGTCTGTGATGACTCACCATCTCTTTATTAGGGGACATGTTTCATATTTGAAAAGGGCTTAATGAAAAATCACTCTGACATACCACATTGACCTAATGTTAGAGAAAAGTTATCCATCTGATTTTTTTTCTTTACCGATACCAAGCAACAGCGGTTCTCTTTTACATTTTTAAGGCATGTATACCAACTCAAATAAATACTTGTGTGCTTGCATAGATTCAACATCAGTTTCATGGTTGAAAAAGCATCTTCCCCCCGCCATTGATTATGACTGATTTTATGTTTTACAAAACTTCATACTGTATCTGTGTAGTTTGGTAATTCTGATGCCTTTTGCACAAAGTAAAAAAAAAAGAGAGAGACTCCACTGATAGATATTGGAATCATTTGTGGCAACTGAACCACAGAATGTTGTCCACAGAACAGTCATAATAGCCTTCTTCTCATAGGCAAAGCAGCCACTGCTTGATCCACAGGTGGTGTGTTTCGTGGTGACACGTGACCACGTACCACAGTCTGTGCCATGAGATCTGAGTATAGCGGCCATCCAATGCTTTCAGGAAGCTCCCACCTCCTATTTCTGAAGGTTATGTAAGAAGTTCTCCAGAACTTGGTATCTATACTCCACACTGCTCTTGCTTCTGCTTGGTGTGTTCAGAAGTCTAATGGCCGGATCATCATAGCTGTGGACCGTAATGAATAACTGGGGCCTTTGAAGTAATGCCATTTTATTCCATTTATTTTTCCATGGTGCTGTCCAGCTGAGTAGAACATTCCATTGAGATTGGAAGGCCCGCAGGCATCAAACCACCAGCCTGGAAATGTTAGGAATACAACAATTAGAGCATACGTTAATGAAACATGCCTAACCTGGTTGGCAAATTAGTAGGATTTCTAAACGGTAAAAGGCCACTGAGGAGTCAATGGCTTTGGCTTCTTTTACACAATCCATTTTCAGACCAAGATCCAAAGAAGCACACATCTAGATATGCATACCCAGAGAAGTTTGGGAACTAGTGTTTCACAAGCAGCAGCTTCCATGCCAAATGGCAAACTGCCTTTGAAAGAGAGGAGCCTTTCCAAAGCAATCAGTGCTCTGTCACAGGGGCCTGCTATTATGGGGGGGGATAAAAAAAAACAAAAAGTTAGTCTGCCTACTATTACCTCGTGAAAAAAAGTGTTGCTATCCTTTAATGTCACACCTATCACTTTGATTTTGTATGTATAATGTGTATTATATATACATATGGCACATCTGCATGTTATAGTGTTCTGAAACAAGTGCGCACCACAACTAGGAAGCCCTGAAAGATAATTAGCAGCAACTCTATCCAATAAGCTGGGTTGTGCAACAAATGAACTTCGAGGTCTCGGCCTGGAGAACAGAGTTCAGGCATTTTTTTTCTTTTTCCAGCCCAATCCACACAGCTCATGTAATAGATTTGCATGATGAAGTTGTCCTGTTACATCGGTTGCCATCATGCTTTCTAGGAATGTATAGGAATGTATGCTTTCTAGGAATGTAGAGTGTTCATACAATGCTGAACAGTACTCAACAGTACATCATGGACTCTGCATGGCTTCTGTGTATAGATTCCCGGGGCTAGTCTTGAGATATAGCTAATCAGGGTGATTGGTGATAGGACTCAATAGAACAGCCTATGATATGAACTGCATACAGAAAATCCCTTGTTCAATCCTTGGTATCCCTAGTTCGGAAGCTCTCACGTAGCAGAGCTATAGAAGTTAACTACTCGAGAGCAAAAGTAGGCAATACTGATCTAAACAGTCTAATAGTCTCACTCAGTAACCAGCTTTTTATGTTGATGTCTAATAATATAAGGTGATCTTACCTGAATTTTGTTAACTATATGTATTTTTGGTTGGAAAGCTTCCTCCTGTAAGAAAAAGGCTGCCCTTGGAGATAATTTAGAAGTTTCAACAAGTGCAAAATTAAAAACTATTAAGAACTTCCCCCTCCTAATCTGCAGTTCTTCTGACTGTCCATTCCTTGCTAATTATCTAATGTTCCCTCACTGTGTGGTCACTGTTAGGACACGACCCACTAGTAGCACACCCTCCCTTCCTAAAAGGGGAGCTGAAGCAATTTAGACATTATTGAAAAGGTGCTACTATTGCCTACTTTTGCTCTCTAGATCTCAAGTAGTTAATCGGTGAAAACAGTCATTCAACTCACAGTGGAAAACCAGTGCACAGAAATTTGTCAGAACAAGCAAATTCAGGTTGGTTGTTGTTGTTTTTTAAAAGAATTTAGCTGAGAAGAATTTGGGCTCCTTGAACGTGAATGAAAGGTAAAAGAAACAGAAATTTACGGATTTGGTACCCCTGTTAGGATGACATTAGAAACAAACAAAGCAGTACGATCATCCCTCTTCTCTGAAATTAGCTCCTTCCCCATCTTCTGTACAAACAAATAAATTAGGGAAACGTGAAGCTTCAGCAAGAAATTTCACTCATTTTTATCAAAATCCTTTGGCTTCCCTCCAAAGTCTTCAGAGATTTCAACTGAAAAGGAGCCCTCAGACTAGCTGTGAATAGCACAATACAGAGAGCTACCTGACAGATACAGATCCTAAAACAAAGGGAACTGTGGGGTTTATGGTTCTAATCTTCAAAGCATTTCCTCTTCAGTGGGGAATTTTTAGGACAATGTTGTTTTCAAGGTTGACAATAAACTGTTTCCCCTTGCCCAGAGGGAGAAACAGCTTGTCCTTCAGCTACATTTTTGAAGAGGTTGCTGATTTCTCAGCAATGGCTGCTGTGCCATCCTGTGCTATGCCCAGAGTCCCAAAAACCTGCTAGAAGAATCTACAGTGGATGCCTGGTAAAGATTGTGTCCAGTGCACAGAACTTACAGTGTGGTGTGACATCTCTTTGACTCCACAAAACAACTGTGATGTCTTTCAAACTGAAACCCTTACCTTGGTTTTTTAAAAAAGGGATACCAATAAAAAACACTTTCAGTGTTCAACATTTCCCATATGGTCTCCGGACAATCAAAATGGAATTCTCTTTTGTGGTCAAATTATATTTCCTCTATGGCTCATGCACTGTCAGCACATTTGGTTGTCAGCATTTTATCTAACGGAAAGGATTCCTTGTTGTTTTTCTACCACTGGGTACATTAGTAACTCTGATTAGCACATCGTTCCAAGTTTTACACTACTTTGTACAGTTGACCAGAGTGAATTTATGATTTGAGCCTTGTAAAGTAATTTTGAACAATACTCAGTGGCCTTTTTTCCCTCCCCCTGAAGTAACACTTCATAACAAAATCTTTGGGGAAGGATCGGTGCCAAATACATTCTGGCATTCAGCTATTTTGATACAGTTGACCTCTCTTTGATTACAAAGCCGTACCTAAGGGGCTAATAACCAAAGGGGAAAAAAGAAAGCTGCGCAGCTGATCTTTGACTGTAACAAGAGTATAATCTTTTAGATATTTAAGACAAAGCTAAACATGGAAAAATCTAATCCTCATTTTTTCCCCCTCAAAGCTGGAACGTATAAGCGTCTTGGCTCTTTTTACACTGTCAAGAGGAAAGCAGTATCCATTACCATTCAACTTTGCAACAACAATCTTAGCATGAAAGAAACTTTCGTTGATGCGTTTCTTTTTCTTATCAAGACAGCCTAAACAGCACATAATCCTGAAACTGTGCTAAATGATGGGCTACCTAAATTATGCCTGCTTGGACAGTCCATGAAAGATCCTCTCTGGGCTTCTACCATTACGTGGATGGTGGCACGTAGCTATTACAGCAGCACACGGGGTCGACCCACACATGCATGCTCATCTCTCGTGGACTGAAGCCACAAGTAATGACTAACTTGTTTGAATGATCCATTGCAAAAACAAATCAGCACAGACAGAAACGGCAAATCACCTGACTGCAGGAAGTGCAGATCTGTGATCGAGCATCTGCTTTGCTCACAGAAGATTCCAGTTTCAGTCCCCAGAATCATGAGTTTAGAAAGGATCAGGCAGTAGGTGATACAAAAGACGTCTACTTTAGACCCTGGAGAGCCACTGTCAGTCAGAATAGAAAGCACTGGCCTTGATAGCCATTGATTCCTCTTATTCTCTTTTTTCCTCTTTTCAAAGATGGATTTCTCTTTTGTTTCTCACTTATTTATCATTGTAGAGAAATCAATGCACTTTTTTTTAGCCATTGCAGCTGTTTTATGTTATGCATGCCAGGATGGTGCACTAGCAGAAGGATAAGAAAGTTTGGGAAGGCATTGTCTGCTTCTGAGCATCAACAGACTGAGATTTCAAAATTTCGCAGAACTGCCCTTCCTGCCCCTGGTCTCTTCGAATTTCTGTTTCGATCAAAACAGAATTGATTAGAAACAGACTCCAAGTTCCTAAAAAGAGAGAAATAAATGGGTTGCTGGATTTCAGGGAGAAACTGGGTAAAGAGGAATTAAGAGAATTTCACTTAACAGGACCACCCATGATCCCTTCTGTATTTACAGGGAGCCCGTATTCAGAAACAGATACCCACATCATAGGAGGGTGCTTGGCTTGCAACCTCCCAAGATTTGGTGACTGATCCCAGCACTCTTTGGCAACCATTTTGTCACTGCCTCCCATGGCAGCCAGTTTGCGGTGGTGCCTGCCCACTCCCCATTCTCAAAAACCCCAAAGCACCCACAGCCATTATGGACCCCTGGACTGGGCTGGACAGCAAGCAGAGGCTGACCAAGACAATATCACTCTGCAAGAGGCAACATGAAATGATGTAATGGCACCGTTTGTATATCGATCTTCCCCTTTTTCTGGATGTTGATTTTCCTGTGGTTCTGGTCAATGCTTTTGTTGTTGTATAAACACTGCAAATATTGTTACGGCCAATGACTTCAATGATAAACATTTATTCATTCATACCAGAAATTATACCATCCTCAAATGTTCCAGGAGGCTTTTCATGGATTTGGAGTGAGGGAGTGTAGCAAATAACTCCCCCGGCATATCTGTATCCCCCGCTGTTGTTTACATTACTAGATGAGCATCTGCCAGTTTTAATTCAGTACATCTTACTAAGCAGGAACTCCCATTTGTTTGAAGCATGGCATCTTTTATCATCTTGCAGTTCTGAGATACTGCCAGTCTTTTTTTCTCTTCTGGGGCATCAAAGCCTCCCACATCTAGAGACAGGATGTTTAGTTTGGAGATACAATGTGTTCTCCTGGGAGGGCTAGGTTGCTGGTTCACATGTAGATACACACATCTTGACTTGTAACAACCTGACTTTGCAATGCTTGATGACTGGCAATGGATAGAGTTCCTACCTCCAGCACAAAGAAATTCCTGGATATCTGGGGGTGGCCCTAGGGAGGTCAGAGTCTGGGAAGGGGAAGGAGTTCAGCGGGGATGTAATGCCATTCAGCCCACCTTCTGAAGCTGCCATATCCTCCAGAGGAACAGATCTCTGAAGTCTGGAGATGAGTTGTGATTCTGGGAGAACTCTAGGCCACACCTTGACATTTGTTCAGGTGGGAAGCCATATTGGTCTGCAGTAGAAGAAAAAGATTCGAGTCTGGTAGCACCTTAAAGACCAACAAGTCAAAGCTCCTTACATCAGATCTGCTGAAGTATGTAACAAAGGGAACTTTGACTCTTGACAGTGTGTATCCTAGAAATCTTGTTGGTTTTTAAGGTGCTACTAGACTCGAGTCTTGGCATTGAGGCTGGTAATCCTAACAGCTGAGTGTGTGAACATACTATGATGAAATATAATTTGAACAGGATGTGCGAACAAAGGTTATCTGTTCACTTATCCTGATTCTT